TTGTCATACCACATTGTACCACCTCTATTAGAGAGGTGAGATCCACTTCTATTAGAAAGGTGGTATATAAATTAATGTAATATCTTAGTAGAGTCATTCTATAGTGATGGCCTTATCTATAACCTTTTGGTGAGGTCTTATATCTTAACTGTTGGATCAGGCTAATCAATTTAATCCAACAACTAACCAATTTGATTCAACGATTAAGAGATATAGCCTCACCGAAGTGCCATATATAATGCCCTTGCTATAGAATTCTTGATGCCTAGCATTGATCGTTTGCATATAGCCACATACTTATTCTTCCAAGTTTCAAATAAGTTTTGACTATGAGCCACAACTGTTTATCGGGCTAACAAAAATGGGCCATTGGTTACTAATAATGGGCTTTCAATTTAAAATACAACAATAAAATAAAACAAAAAGATACTCGAGTCGAGTCTGGTTCGTCGGCGTTATTTGGAAATTTCCTCGGACGCTCGAGCCTCCAACGCGAACCACGGGCAACGCCTACGAACCACGAACCAAGAACGAAGTCATCACACGAACGGTACAAATTCTCATCCCTTTCCTCTTCTGTCTGCTATATCATCCCCCCTCTGTGATTACTGGATATTATTTCAAATTTCTACAATATAACCTTAGATTGGTTTCAATATGAATTCAAACTTGTTTTCTCTGATTTTGGTTCAATTGGTGATGGATTTGGGGTTCAATTTTGACTGGGTTAGGGTTTCTCTCTCAGATAATAAAGGGTTAGGGTATCCATGAATGTTCAGCTTTGACTGGGATAGGGTTTCTCTCTCTAATATACTGCATCAGCATGTTACTGATACTGAGCTTTTGTATCCATGTCGATTTCTTTGAGTCATTCATTCTGTATTTCGTCAAAGTACTATTTTCTATTGGATTAAAGCCTGTGGAATGCGCGGTTGACAATTGTTGGTAAATCCTACAGGGTTTCTATTTGGCCTCTACAAAGAGTGTGCTGCTCCTTATTAAACCAAAGGTACGTGTGATATATATGCGGCCTCCTGAATTATGCTGTCCTATTCTGGAATTTAATATGTAGTGGTTTTGGCAAAACAGTGTTTTATGGATAAGTAATAAGTTTTATGTATTGGGATCTTTACAATGCCATGTCATCTCAGGATAAGAACAGTGATTCTTGCAAATAACATTTTCTGTCAGATATGGTTCATAGAATAAGAACACGATAACAACAGTGTTCTTTTTAGTCAGAATAGAAATATAGAAGAATCATAGGAGCTGTATTATTATATATATACAACTGAAAGTTTGGGGTTTGTTGTTTAGGGCATGCCTTGGTGTTTGTTTCTAGCTCAATTATAAAGATGGACTTGGCTTCTGCAGTCACACTATAATCACTTTGCAAATGTTGGGGGGATAATTTTAACTGTCTAGAATAGATACTTTTTTTTTTTCTTCGAGTAGTTGCAGAAGTGTGAATTTTTTTAGAGGGAGAACCGTGTGAGGGACACCTCTTGGTTTAGACAAATTCACTGCTTATCAAGATGCCACATCCTGGGAAGGGCACCTCTTTGTTTCCAGGAACTGACTTAAGTTGGTTCCAAATTGAAAGATACTGAGCTGTTAGTTGGAGTGGGATTAGGATCACACTGGAAATTAAGGTTGTTAGTTTTGTGCAGATTGGTGAAATGATGCAGTATTTGACTATTTTTGTTCCCTTTTCAATTTCATAGATTGCATAAAAAGTTTCATCATTGCTCTCCTTTTTCATTTGTTTGTTTGTTCGTGATCTTAATGTTATGAATTGCTTGCTGACACTGAGTGCTTGACTAATTATAAATCAAATGGAAGCCATAGAGCTCTGGCTGTGCTTGTTTCAAAGGGGTTTGGATGTTTGAAAATAAATGTTTGCTTCCCAAATGAGTATGAATGTTAGGGCTTTCATAAATTAGATAACTATTTTATAGCAAACACAAGAAGAACATTTTTTTCTCCCACGTGGGTTTTTATATTTCTGGAACCTCTTCCACGTTTAACATTCAACAACGTTTAAAACGCCACTGCATGAAATGAAACATGGTCACTTTCATTAAATCTTTGTTTCCATCTAGCTAGCTATAAATGTCCTTCCTCTTCAAACCCTCCAAGATTCTTCATCAATATTAACGTGACAAACTTTATAGACAAGCCATCGTCCTCTTCGAATCAAGTTTAAGCTCGAATCAAGTATACACATGATCATATATATGTATTCAGTAAGATCAGTTTGTTTTATGATTTAGAGGTTGAAATGAAATATAATTTCGTGTTTCTAAACATAAATCCCAAGCTTTAGTTTTCACACACAATATAGTTTACTATTTAGGTAAATATGAATTCAATTTTAGCTAATTAGGATAAAGCCAAAAGCCAAAATATAGTACCTGCTTTTACCATAATATAATTAAAGAACATGAAAATTACAACATATGCCATTGTTTTCAAATTTCAATATTTAGTTTCAAATTTACAAAATATGCCATTATCCCATTCGCACGAGTATTCGTCTTCACCTCTAGAAATCGCATTCCACATTTTCATACTTTTCCCAAAAACTCAGAGACTGCACATCGACGATTGTTCAGGGTAAACAACAATCAACGACGACCACCAACGACCACCATCAACAATCGAAGCCGATTCTCACTATCTTGGAAAAAAAGGGTAAGAAAATCAACGCTAACACAAATTTGCCTTCAATTTTAGGGATTTAGGATTTTAGACATTTTAGCTATTGTTCGTTATGCATGCTTCCTTTGGAAAAATGGATGACTCTTTGGATTCACAACTACTCTTGGTTTAGGTTTTGCCTTCATTTATAGGGATTAAGGATTTTAGAAATCTTATCTATTGTTCATTCTTCATTTTGCAATGTAGTTTAGGTTTTGGGTTTAGTTTTGGTTTCAAAACCTCTAAAAACCAAAAAATCACCAAAGAAAGAGAAAGAGCATCAAATATATGTGTTTTCTGAACTAAAGAAAATGGAAATTGCATTGCAGTTTCTAGTTTAGTTTGTAGTTCTTGTTTCGACTATTCTGATCTTTCCATTTCATGTTAAGTTGCTCATATTATATTTATATTATGTTTGATGTTTTGCGTTTTGGATTGCTACTTTTACAAGAGGAAGTGCATCAAATATTTCTGTTTTATGCATTGCAAAAAATGAAAATTGCATTGCAGTTTGCGTTAATGCAATGCAATGAACTACAACATGCATTACAGAAAACGGAAATTGCATTGCAGTTTGTGTTAATATAATGCAATGAACCACAAATTGCATTGCAATTTCTTTTTTCTATTTTTTATTTTCTGCTCAATTATTTATACTTTTTTCTCGTAGTTTATCTCTACTTGTCCTAATAGTGTTTTCATCAATTCTTGTTTAAGATAACAAATGGCACAAGAAATGTCACCACAAAAGAATGAAGCTCAAACCAACGAAAGCCAAGAATCAAAATAATGGCTCAAAAGAGAAAATCAAAGGCAAACTATAATAGGAAAGCAAAGCACCCAGACTATATCCAGTTTTGGTGCAACGTCAATGCTTTCAACATCATCATTACAGACGTTAAAGACAAGCTCAATGAAAGGCAGAAGAAACTGCTCAAGAAAACGCATTTCTGGAACTTGATTGAGCTGTTTTACAACAAAAGAATTGACACGAATGACATGAATAAGTTGGACCTCGACTTAGTAAAGCTGCTCAAGAAGTTTGATCCATATACAAAGTCCTTCAATTTCGGCATCAAATCATTCTAAATCACAGCCAATGTTGTGACTGAGATTTTAGGACTTCCAAACGAAGAAAACTCTGTCAAACTTGGCAATGATAGATACACTGCTACCTTCAAAACAAGGCACTTTGGAGGAAAGTCAAACCCATCAAAAGGCATGGTAGAAGGAGAATTACAAAAGACAATTTCCTTGACAAACCAACCGAAGAAATAAAAGGCCAAGGCAAAGCAAAAGAAGAAAACGAACAGAGGAAAAGCAAAAAAAGAAGTTGAAGAAGAACGGGAAGACAAAGAGGAAAATGAGGTTGTTGACTACGACAAGGATGTGGTCAGCCTAATCTTGATTCTACTCTGCATGACATTCCTCTTTGCCAACTCTTTATCCACTTTGCATTGGAAAATTGTTGAGCACAGTATGAATCTAGACACACTTTCAAGCTATTCGTGGGCAAGAGCTGTATCAACCTACATAAATGACTCTTTGATCACAAAGGCAAAAGCAAAAAGGGGAGGAGAAGCCTTTATAGGAGTTATTTCGGGTTACACAATCCTAATATTAGTAAGTAAACATCGACTTATGCAATGCATTTTGAGTTTTATGCAATGCAGTTTCCATTTACTACAGTGCAGTTTCCAACCTAATTTATGATATATCTTGTTTTAGAACTGTGTAGTTTCTACTGCGTGTGAGGACAAACATCATACAACCAATCCTTGGCAAGGAGAAAGAAACTCCTGCAATTTTTAAATAAAGTCTTATGGAACTCCACACAAGATTCAACCAAATAAAGGACTTAAATGACATAAAGGTATGCAATTTATTGCATGTTCTATTTTAATGTATCTTGAATGTGAATCCATGCTAAATCATTCTCATTGTACATGGTATTTTCAAAACCCCTAAAAAGCGAAATACAAGACAAGAGGGAGACCCTGTTGGCAAGGTAATTTGAATATGTACACAGTGGCTTATGCATTGCAATTTCTGTTTTCTGCAATGCAATTTGTATTTTATCCAATGCAATTTCTAAATCATTCTCATTGTACAGGGTATTTTGAAAACATATAAAAAGCGAAAAACTACTAGAGAAGAAAAGAAAAGAAGAAGTAAGATGCTCTAACACCTGATGTTCCGTCAAGAATACAAAGGCTAAAGAATAGAGAAAGAAATAGGCATCAAGCATCTTGCTATGAGTACGAAAAAGATATGCAAACAAAAAAAGAGTGCTTGAAAGTATGTCCAGAATCACACAGTGCTCAACAATTTTCCAGTGCAAAGTGGATGAAGAGTTGGCAAAGTGGAATGTCATGCAGAGCAGAATCAAGATTAGGCTGACCATATCCTTGTCGTAGTCAACAACCTCATTTTCCTCTTGCGTCTTCCCCTTCTTTTTCTTCTTTTTCTTCAGCTTCTTTTTTTGCTTTTCCTCTGTTCGTTTTCTTCTTTTGCTTTACCTTGGCCTTTTCTTTCTTCGGTTGGTTTGCCAAGGCAATTGTCTTTTGTAATTCTTCTTTTACCATGTCTTTTGATGGTTTTGACTTTCTTTCAAAGTGCCTTGTTCTGAAGGTAGCAGTGTATTTATCACTGCAAAGTTTGACAGAGTTTCCTTTATTTGGAAGTCCTAGATTCTCAGTCGCTGCATTGGCTGTGATTTGGAATGATTTGGTGCCGAAATTGAAGGACTTTGTATTTGGATCAAACTTCTTGAACAGCTTTACTAAGTTGAGGTCCAACTTATTCATGTTATTCATGTCAATTCTTTTGTTGTGAAACAGCTCAATCAAGTTCCAGAAAGACGTTTTCTTGAGCAGTTTCTTCTGCCTTTCATTGAGCTTGTCTTTAACGTCTGTAATGATGCTGTTGAAAGCATTAACGTTGCACCGAAACTGGATATAGTCCGGGTGCTTTGCTTTCCTATTATAGTTTGCCTTTGATTTTCTCTTTTGAGCCATTATTTTGATTCTTGACTTTCGTTGATTTTGAGCTTCATTCTTTTGTGGTGACATTTCTTGTGCCATTTGTGATCTGAAACAAGAATGGATGAAAACACTATTAAGACAAGTAGAGATAAACTACAAGGAAAAAGTATAAATAGTTGAGCAGAAAATAGAAAAAAGAAATTGCAATGCAGTTTGTGGTTCATTGCATTGCATTAATGCAAACTGCAATGCAGTTTGTGGTAATGTAATGCAGTTTGTAGTTCATTACATTGCATTAACAGAAACTGCAATGCAGGTTGCAGTTCATTGCATTGCATTAACGCAAAGTGCATTGCAGTTTACGTTTTTCGCAATGCAGAAAATAGAAATATTTGATGCTCTTCATCTTTTAAAAGGAGCAATCCAAAACGCAAAACATCAAACATAATAGAAATATAATAGAAGCAACGTGACAAGAAATGGAAAGATTAGAATAGTCAAAACAAGAGCTACAAACTAAACTGGAAATTGTAGTGCAATTTCCGTTTTCTTCAGTGCAGAAAACAGATATATTTGATGCTCTTTATCTTTCTTTGGTTATTTTTTGGTTTTTAGAGGTTTTGAAACCAAAACTAAACCCCAAACCTAAACTACATTGCAGAATGAAGAATGAACAGTAGGTAAAATTTCTAAAATCCATAATCCCTATAAACAAAGGCAAAATCCAAACTAAGAGTAGTTGTGAACCCAAAGAGTCATCCATTTTTCCAAAGGAAGAAAGCACAACGAACAGTTGCTAAAATGTGTAAAATCCTTAATCCCTAAAATCGAAGGCAAATTTGTGTTAGAGCGTTGATTTTCTTACATTTTTTTTCCAAGAGAGTGAGAATCGGCTTCAATCGGTGGTGGTCTTCGCTGTTGGTGGTCGTCGTTGATTGTGGTTTATCGTGAACAATTGTCGTTGTGCAGTCTCTGTGTTTTTGGGAATAATGTGAAAATGTGGAAGGCGGTTTCTCGAGGTGAAGACGAATACTCTAGCAAATGAGATAATGGCATATTTTGTAAATTCGAAACTAAATATTGAAATTTGAAAATAATGGCATAATGCCTTATGTTGTCATTTTAATGTTCTTTAATTATATTATGGTAAAAGCAGGTACTATATTTTAGCTTTTGGCTTTATCCTAATTAACTGAAATGAATTCCTATTTACCTAAATAGTAAATTATATTGTGTGTGAAAACTAAAACTCCTGGTTAGGCTTTTTAAGAAGAAGAGAAGCATTGTCTTTTTAGTTTTTATTTTTAAGTTGGCCCAATGAATTTGGGCCTCATCTTTGATCTAATCTAAAATAGTAATTCTTTCACAGGTATTAAAACCCAAACAAAAAATATACAATGTCTCAAATACTAATTAGTAAAGTTACTTATGTCTAATACTTAATTTTTTTAAAAAAGAAAACCCAAAATAAAAAGATACTATTGACTTTTATTTTTTTGTTTTTCTAGATACTATTGAGTATTGACTATTCATTGAGTCCAATGTTCTTCCCGACTTTTCCGCATAAAAATCAATACGAATCCTACATGGGTATTAGTACTATTCACGATCATAGATTCTAGAACATACGAGAAATTTGTAAAAAAAGTTTTAAGGTTTTTTCTCGCCAAACAAAAGAGTTCCTAAAAGTTATTTTTTAGGCTCTTTTTCAGTGACCTAGACCCATTGAATTTACATATTACTGTTTTTTATTTTTAAGAACTACAGGATGGATAAAAATCATGCTCCATTAGTTAGGTAGCAAATATTGAAATTCTGAATTTACAAGTTAGATAAATAAAATATATATGTTTAACAAAATGATTTATTACAAAACTTGTTTCAAAATGAAATTGGGAGTGATAGCATTAAAATCTTGAAACATAAGGAGAAGTTGAATGAGGACATCATTAATGAACATATCTTTTAGATTAGGATATTCAACTGATAAGTAAGTTTTAATCTTGGACCACAAAAATAATACAGAAACAAATGGTGGTTGACTAGTTGGTTGAGCAACTTGGACGTTTCGTGCGCATTTGAATTCATCTCTTGATTATATTATCCTGAAGTCCTTGTCTTGCTGTCAAAAAAACCCGGGTGTTCAACCTCTCAGTGTCTCACATATTCCTCTCATTAAACGAACATCAATTTCAATTTCAGAACCCAATTCATCATCTTCATGACAAAACTGGAGATGGGCACCAATCCAATGCAACAAGAAACCAACCATGTGATCGGTATCTGGGAAGTGAACGAGGACCGCTTAGCCTCCATGCACAAGAAGATCTCAGAGCCTCCAAGACTCCTCAGCAATGCAGCAGGCAAACCGTCTTGCTGCATTTTCAGAATCCCACAGAGCCTGCTCGAGATAAACGGCAAGTCGTACAACCCCCAGATCCTCTCAATCGGCCCATACCACAGAGGGGAGCCAAGCCTCAAGATGATCGAAGAGCACAAGTGGCGCTACTTGGGTTCCTTGCTGTCAAGAACAGAGGCCAAAGGGTTGACTTTAAACGATTATTTCAAGGCGTTAGAGCCACAGCAAGCTGAGGCCAGAGAATGCTACTCAGAAAGTATAAACCTCAGTACAGATGAGTTCATTGAAATGATGGTTCTTGATGGTTGTTTTATAATTGAATTGTTTAGGAAATTTGGGCGCTTGGTTAAGTTTGAGGAACATGACCCCCTTGTCAGCATGGTTTGGATAATGGCATTTTTGGTCAGGGACTTGCTTAGGCTTGAGAATCAAATACCCTATTTTGTTCTTGAGGTCTTGTTTGATCTAACAACTTTGCCAGAACATAAAGACAATGGGAAAACACTCTCCTTGCTTGCATTGGAATTCTTCAACAACAATATGCAGAGGCCGGACCATGTCATACAAAAGCACCAAAATCTCACAGGTATGGTCTCAAATTTTGATTAGTATCCGAAACAAATTTCGATTTTTAACTAATATCCTTTTTTCGATGTTTCGTTTAGTACATTTTCCCTGAAACTTGTTCATAATTTCTCTAGATTTTGTTTCTGTATTTTAATTAAACACCTTGCTTGTAGGCGTGCATTTGCTTGACTTGTTGCGCGCAAGTGTTATACCACCAGGCCATGATGAACCACATAGAGGCAACATTATCCCAACACATACCATTCATTGTGTTTCAAAGCTTCGCCGTGCCGGGATCAAGCTCAGACCGGGCAAAGGTGAGAGCTTCTTGGTGGTCAAATTCAAGCGCGGAGTCATTGAAATGCCCATGATAACCATCGACGATTTCTTAAGCTCCTTCCTGCTCAACTGTGTGGCCTATGAGCAGTGCCACAAGTCATGTTCCAAGCACATCACCACCTATGCAACATTGCTGGATTGTCTCGTGAACACATACAAGGATGTTGAGTACTTGTGCGACCAAAACATCATTGAGAATTGCTTTGGGAACGACGGGGAGGTTGCTCAATTTGTTAACAATTTGGGGAAAGATGTGGCTTTTGATATGGACAGATGCTATCTGGCTAAGTTGTTCAATGATGTGCACCACTATTATGGGAATAGTCGGCATGTTCAATGGGCTAGCTTCAAGTACACTTACTTTGACACTCCATGGTCCTGCATATCTGCCTTTGCTGCATTGATTTTGTTGATAATGACCTTGTTGCAGACCTTTTACACTGTTCTAGGTCATTATCATACTTGAAAAATGAAAATGGTGTTTGATATATAAACATATTTACTCTAAGTCTTTGCCTATTAATCTTGAGCACGACTGATAATAATTTCTTGTTGATCGTGGCTATGCTAAATTCTTGGAGTAAAATGATAATTTGATTGTAAACACTAACACTAAGCATGCGTTTTATGCAAGGCAAATATGACCTTCATGCTCTGTTTTGGGAAAACGGGGAAGGAAAAGAAAAAGGGAGAAAATGATATAAGAAATAAAATAAGGAGATCTATAAGAGCAACTCCACCCATTTGACATTTGCCACGGCAAAAGGGGGGGGCTAGGGCAGCCACTATTCACGTGAATAGTTGCTACCCTTGCAAAAGGTTGTGGTGTTTTCATCAATTGTCATGGCAACAACTATTCACATGAGATATGAGGAGAGAAATTTGTATAAAGTTTTGGTGTGGAAAGTGAAAACTACAACTAAGTATTTATTTTATAAAAAAAAATGAATTTTTTTTTAATTTTTTGTAGATTTTTTTTAATTTTTTGTTGTTGCTGATGTCAGCAAACTGGGATTGGAACTAAGGCAGATCTTGCATAAGGGCTAGCCTGGGTTCATGGGCCCCATCTCCTGCCAGGGCTAGCCCTTGCCGCTGGAAACAAGATTTAGGCCCAAACACCCCTCCCAACCCTCCCCTTAGGCGCATCGATGGAATCGCTCTAAGAGGAGAAGACAAAGGGAAATTCAGGGAAGAAAAGAGTGCGACAATTATTAATAGATCAAAGTACGGGAATTTACATACTTATTTGGCTACTAGATGGGTCAATAATTTCTCACACAATGTATTTTAACATTCCGAGCCGTCTAGTTTTTAGATATTCTCTCAAATATTACGTCCGCAAAAAATCACTTGAATCGCCAACGAAAATATCAAAATCAAACTACGCTGTCCCCTAAATTTGCTTTTATAATATATAAAAGCAAATCCATCTAATAGTCTGCAACTCTGTTTGCTTTTATGATATCACGTCTTTTTGTGAGCATGTTAGGCCATCTAATAGTCTCAGTAGTCTTATATGTCTGTGTACCAAATCCATCTTCTCGACGCGTATCATAGCATGAGTGGAAAACTTGACAAGAAAAGGCGACTTTTTTTATAGTCTGTCTTTTTCATTTAGACTTGACCTATATATCTATCTACCCATATGTTGGGCTAGGTGCTCTGAACTTCAAGGTGTAGAATTTTATCCATGAAGAGCTCGGTGCATTTTTTTTGGGTGAAATGGGGGGATTAATCCTCAAACACATAAAATCTAAATTATAGAAAAAGAACGAATTCTAGAAACTCTTAACAAATTATCATCAAAAATAGCCGCAACCCAATTAGGAATCTCCCTCGGTAGAGAGTTGCAAGTTAATATTATACTCCTTTATGTTTAATTGTTTCCCTACATGGACAATTCTAGTGGTACGGCCAATGTCATGCACGCGACCGTGTTATTAAGACCATGACCAACTCAATCAGGTATGGTAATTTCCATTTCATCCCCCCAAAAAAAAATAAAAATAAAAATAAAAATGATACACCTGCGCAAATAGAAAGCAGATTATTAGTCTCGTGCGCTTGAAGGAAAGACTGCCTCTCAAAGTTGAATGTTTGAAATTTTCAACTCCACTCAACATGCTCAAATTCAAACCTCTGGATGTTGAATTTTTCAACCCCTTAGCCTCCCGTACGTCTCAGTTCCTATATATATACCTTCATTCTTCCAAGTCTCCTACAAACAAACCCACCAAATATTTCACCTATCAGATTTGCTTCAAACTTCAAACCCTATTTTCTATTTTCAGCAATCAATAAGGGACTTTCATCTTGGTTCAGAGCTGCTTCTATATCGAACAAATTCATGAGCTCACAAAACTGTTCAGGGCAAACTTCAGGACTGGTTCAATTTCCGCAACCCACAAGACCAATAAACAGCTACAAGGACATGACGAGCTCAATGGCACTGCCTCAACCCACAAGGCCAATTAGCCTAGACAATATCACTTGTACGAATTCCGAGCCATACTTGCCGAAAAAAGAAGCCAGACTTCCGCAAGAATTTGTTGATCATGTTAATCTGGCACCGCCAGCCGAAGAGGAAGACAAGGAAGCTCTTCATGGGTTGCTTGAAATCATCTCAGAGCTTTATGAAAAAGTTCCTGCAAAATTAGCAGACCACTTACGTGATATGGATGGAACAAAAGCTCTACCCACTGTGCTAAAGGGTTCTACTGCTAGTCGTGGCCTTGAAGCTGTGGATTTGTCAAAGAAGCTTGAGCGCTTCAAGATACGAACTTTCGATTCGGAAGGAGTTGTGAAGGAGGAACAGAAGCGATAATGCGACCAATTAATTATTCGATTAAGAGTGATGTGTTAAGAAAATCACTTCTTTTTTTTTTTGTACAAATTTTTTTTACTGAAAGCTTATTATTATTCATTTATTCACATTTGTTGTTTGATGCTTATCCTCATCTTCTTTGTTTTATTCATATTTAAATTCTCACTGTAATGTTTTATTTATTTATAGTGAAAATTACATTTTACTAGCCAGCGGGTTATCTAATACAAATCAATATTTTTTTGGTTCATAAAATGAATACTTTACAGTGATCAATCTTCACTGGCACAGCCTCTACAACCACAATGCACTGTGCACACACTCTATAAGCTTCTCCTCCCGCTGTTGCTTGGGCACTCGGCAGACACACGTCGTGGCAAAGTTGTGATCGCGAGGCATTTTGACCACCAAAAAAAAAGCTTATATATATAGGCAAGCAAAACCCTAATGAAAACAGGAGAACATATCCTATCTGGTCCTCTATCAGAGAATTTGCCGGATTCTCTTTCTTGCATTTCAAATAGAAATCCTTCTACGACCAAAAGAAGAAGAAGAAATTGTTTTTTCTAGAAAACCGTTTTGAGTACCGAATTCAAAAGCGCAATGAAGCCCAACTCTTAGAAGACACGTCGTTCACGGCCCAACATTCTGATTAAAATTTAAAAGCCCAACCCAAATATACTCGATTATTTATTTATTTATTTCTGTTGTTTTTATTTTTGTTTTTGGTCCATCTTCCCATAATGATCCACCTAAGCCTACAGTGTGATTTTGCAAAGACACAATACCTAATTTGAATTTGATGGTTGATGTGGATATTTGACATGTTGTATAACTTTATACTCCACCTGAAATGTTAAAAAATACTAATATTTTATTATTGTTATTATTATTCAATGAATTTAAAAAACAATAAAAGCTTATGGGGCCAGAAGAATAAAAAAAAATCTGATGGCACCAATCAAAGACAACTAAAAGTAATAGTAATAAAAAGCTAAGTGGGACAAAGGAAATAACGCCTCAGTATGTTGGCGTCAATAATAACCAATGACAACTTAGTTGGATCTCTAAGCAGTTTCAATTGTTATCGTTTACCATGTCACATGTCATTTAATTGGTCGGTTGGAGATGCTCTTAGGGGCATCTTCTCACAAAGATTATGTGCAAGGCCAATTGACTTGATAGATGCATAAGAATTCTTAGGGGCATACTCGGATTTTTTCTTTAAAAACCTTTTAAATAATTATCATTCTTTTTCAAAGAAAATATGTTACCTCCGCAATTAGAATCATTCATCAAGACAATTTTCAGAACCAAAAAACTCGTCCATAGCAAACTTGGAAAGCTTTCATGTTGCAATGAGTTGAATATCAAAACTATGGTTTACACCAAGAGAAACACACTACTAATACCATTTGCAAAGGGTCCATATTCTGGAAGATTACGATCAGCTAATTGATACAAATATATCCATCTAGCATTACATTTCTAACAACATTCTGCTAATCAATCCCCATTGGCACATCCTCTGCAGCCACTGTAAAACCTTTTCCTCCCTCAGATGTTTGAGAACTCGGCAAACACATGTCGTGGCAAAATTATGATCATAAGGGCGCATGTCATCATATATCATGTGACGAGAGTTGAGTTATAATAAAAGAAAATTTTCACTGTTGCAAACAAGATGCCACAATCTAAATAGAAGTTGAGTAAGATACAAAAAGTATTAAACACATTTGGAAACGGAGATCTAAATTCATTTGAAATGCTTAAAAACTAATTTGTTAAACATAGTATTACTTTCTCCCAATGTCTTAATTAGTTGCATATATTTGCAAAATTATTGAAATATCTTTTATTATGACTAGCTAGTAGGTACTCAACAATGCTTTATTAGTACATATTTCACTGTCATTTTCATCCTAAATATGTGTGTCTCAATGCTCATCCTATTCTTACCTATATGGCCTTCATGTAAATTTGACCATAACATCTCCAAAGAATGTTTGTATCAGGCACGTACCTACTAACATGCTAACCTGGGCTAAAGCCCAGGCAGCTTGTTTTCTCCCACACAGCTCATCCACTTTCACTTAAGGTTGATGTCTTGCGCCTTATATCAGCACCCCCACTGACGGTTACAAAATTGGGGTTTTAGGGCTAATTGAGGGGGATTTAGTCGAAGTGAAGGGTGAAATGGATGTTTTTCCATTTTTAAAGGGGTCACGTGCATCACATGGGAAGAGTAATGGAGAAATAGATGAAATCAATCAAAATTTGATGGTAAGGACCTAATTGACTATTTTTAACAAATTCGTATCCTTAATTCACCGAAAAAATAATCAAGAGTGCAAATTGACAATTATGGTATAGTTTAAGGGGCAATACCGCATTTAAGCCTAAATAAAAAACGTAGAGTTAACCATGGTTATGTCTATGGACATGTATAAAGTATTAAGAAGAGTAGCAAGGATAACCTTAGGTTAAAGTGGTGAGCATAACTACTTCTGGAAAGAAAGAAAAAAAAGGTTACTTTGAACCAAGATGATTTGAAAATAATGATGAGGAAAAAAAGGGGTTGTTTACTCAAATGGTCCTCAAACTTATACTCGAGTTGCATTTTGGTCCCTCAACTAAATTATTCGTTCAAATGGTACAACAACCTTTTATTAATTGGGGCTTTGGTCATATCGTTACATTATGTTAATATTGCCGTCAAATATAGGGGTAAAACCGTCCTAAATCGGGGCTTTTGCCCCATCTTCTCCTCCCCCACAGCCCACCCTCCATGTCCCTTCCTCCTCTGCAACATCATCATCAGGGTGTGGGGCGGAGCCACATTGGGACCAGTGTGGTCTCGGGCCCCTACTCAAGTTTTTATATATTTAAAAAGTAATATACTGTTATGTATTTCTATATGTATATTATTTCAAATACTTTACGTTTTGATATGTACCAACATGTGTTATGGCGGATCTATTAGGCACGATGAGGTGCTTCAAATTGCCAATTTGCTGCACTCCGGGTGTACAGATTACCTTACTTCCATTTTCAACATTTAAGTAAATGTCTTTGTCATTTTACTTTCATTTATTTTTATATTACTCCATTTACTTAAGTTTACAATGTAAATAAGGAAGTACCCCCTATTTGAATTCAAATAAAAATACTAGAAAATCAAATTATCACCAAATCAAAATATGAAAAATCGGTTTTAGTGCAAAATACAATTTAGGCTAAAAATGATGGCTCATTAAGTCAATATATACTTTATACTAAAATCCCATAAAATCAAGTTTTCTTATTTGATGTGTAAGGAATAAAAGCCGCAAAAAATTATCTTAAGAAAATGATTATTTCGAAAAACCATTTTTCATACTTAGTCAATATTTTGACATTAAACATTTTTTCATGTATGATATGAATGCATGGCAGCACTCGGCAGTGCCCTTCTGTTATGAGCTGGCTCCGATGGTCTCGGTTGCGACTGAGACCGGGGTTGTTTGGGTTGTTGGAGTGAGAGAGAGTGTGTCTGATTGATTTGATTCAGTGAAGAACAATAGTTTCAAAATAGTGCACCCCATCAAATCAGTGGGCAAACCTTGGCAACAATGGCAACAACATTCTGTTGCAGACCCACGATGAGATGGGTGTTGGGATTGGAGTGGGGGGGGATTAGATAGGGTGGGGTTGGGTGGGCTGGTTGATGTGAAGACATAATTAACAGATAAAAGGCTAAGCCTTCGATTTCCATAATTGGCTACTGAATGTATAGGTCAATATACTAGCCCAAATTTAGGAAATGTCAAACTAGGCTGTGCCCTTAATTTGGTTTTAATAATAGATCACGTCTTTTTTGACAGCAGGGTTAGGCTATCTAATTAGTAATAATACTTTAGCACAGCATGATTCCAAAAGTGGACAAAAGATGGCGGCTTTTTTTTTCTTCTAATTTTTATTTATCTTACAAGAAGAACATAATCTGACTTACCTCATATGAGTCATAACCCACCCAAACCCAAGCTCAAACAAAACCTTGACGACCTTCTTATTTAAATTTTTTTTTAAAAACAACAAAAAATTATTATTTTTAGTTAAAGCTATATTTCGTTTGACAATACATTTGACTGCTTCTCAAAGTTGAATTCAGATTTGTTCGGCCACTCGTTATCTGACATATTCTTTTTGTTGACTGCTTTCCAAACCTCAATGCCGTAGTTTTTATTTCTTCAGCCAGTCATACGTCCCCTATATATATGTAGAGCATGCAAATGCTTGCCCTTAAAACCCATTTGCTCTCTCTCTCTCTCTCTCTTTCAATCTCCAACTACATCAGACCACCCTCTTTCTATTTTCAACTCAATTTTCTCTACCCACAAGACCAAAACCAATAATTAAACATCTGCAACAACACGATGAGCTCAATGTCCTCAGAGCCTTTACAGTTCTTAATGCTTCATATGAGCGCTGGTATTTCTGGTGTTCATGTTAACGAGGAAGAAGGGCAAGCACTTGATGGCTTACTTGGGTTCATATCAGAGCTTTGGGAAAAAGCACCAGCAAAAATAGCAGACCAATTACTTATTATGGATGGAACCAAAGCTCGAACCGCTGCGCAGAAGGGTACAAGTACGCACGGCCTTCAAGGATCAGTGGAGGAGTTGTTACACAAGCTTGAGCGCTTCAAGATACGGACTTATGATTTGGGAGGGGATGTGAAGGAGGAAGATAAGCGATAATGTAAACTATTCAATTCCTATTCATTCTTTTTTTATTCAACTGTATCTCTTTATTCTTTGTAATGTAGAATCGATAATACTGAAGAGACCAAATTATTTATTCATACGTAAATTCATTATGAATTTTAATTTGCTCAGCATTTTTTTTTAAATACAATCGATATAGTCTAAACATAAGATAACTGTCATAATTGAATAGGTATCTAATTTATAAATGAGTAAAGAGTAAACCAACGTTAACACTATGCACCAATGATTATATATTAACAATTTATTTAAAACAAACTGTAATTTAAAATACAATAAACAATAAATTAATAAAATTGACTTGGATTCGAGTTAAAGACTTGCAGATTTGATGCAATGTCCTAACGACAATAATTTCACCCCCTTCTCGGTGCTTAAAGTTCTACATGTGACGGCTTTCCAGAATTCAACTATCTATATTCTAAGCCTTAGCACTAGGACTTAGAATCTGGCGAACCTTGTTTGTTTTCCTCTCAAACAATATGAATGTGCTTGTAGAATACTTTTTATGTGTTTAACGAATGAGGCCTCTTCTGTTTTAAATAGACTTCTGAAACCTTATCAGAAGAGTCACAGCTGTTAAAAAACAGTTACTTAAACTAATCCGAATTAATAAAAAATATTAATTCAAAACTAAAAAATTAATTTAAATTTGAAGTGCCCCAAGGCCCAATGCCTATCTTTTTGGTAATTAAATATTAATCTATATAATATTTAATGCCCAAATCGAATTTGAAGCCCATTTTACTTCTACTTGGCCCAACTTCCATTTACTAAGTGTGGGACTACCACACTTCTAAATACCTCACTTTTTCTTCTTTCTACTAATGTGGGACACAAGTCCTTGAATTTCATTCAAACTTCCAACAATACCCCACATTTGAATCAAAATTCAAGACCCCACATTTGTAAAGTTATACTTAAAGTGCTAAATGAATGTAATGCATATGAGAGGAAGCAGATGTTATATGCATCAGGAAAAATGTCTTTTGGACTTGAACTTATCTTAGTGAAAACATATCGGATTTACTTGGTGATGCAGTGGATAAAATTGATCTTGAACTGTTCACCGCTATAGTAAATCTAGACAATGTGTCTCACACATATAACATCTTAACACACATTAGTTCATACGTTTTGTTCATTTTGGTCCTGAACATGTCTCGGGTTTCATGAGAGCTTTAGAGAACTTAGCCTTTTTCGTTCTCATAAATATGACCCTACATTTACTCTCATATAGGTGATACCAATTAAGAGTAATCTGCCTAAACTCCTCTTAATAAGTTATTAATGTCATTAAATGCAAAGCATAACCTACACATTAGCATACCACACACTAACCATCATAGGATTGAGCTGAGTTGTGTGTTCAACTTTTTGAATCTTACCTAACCAGTTTGCCTATTGAACCTAGACCATGGGATCTCTAATCAACTAGGTTAGGTTTCCGCTAGGTTTGACTCATTGGATTGGCTTTAATCCCATTCCCCTCGATGTAAATTTGATTTGCTCTCTTGGTAAGCCTTTTGTCAAAAGATCTGCAATATTTTCCTTCGACTTCACCTAGTCAATGGATATAATTCCATTTGAGAGCAATTGTCTAATTGTATTATGCCTACGCCTGGTATGTCTTGACTTACCATTGTATACACCACTTTTGGCTCTTGCTTGTGCTGTCATACTATCACAGTGTATACAAATTGTTGTCACAGACTTATGCCACATTGGAATGTCCTCTAGGAAGTTTCTCAGCCATTCTGTTGCAGCTTTATCTAAGGCTACAAACTCTGATTCCATTGTAAAGCGTGCTATATACGTCTGTTTAGAGGATTTCCAAGATACTGTAGCTCCACCTAATGTAAATACATATCCACTAGTTGATTTGGTTTTTGTACTGCCAGAAATCCAATTTGCATAACTATAGCCTTCTAAAATTGGTGGATATTTTGTATAATGCAATCCATAATCTTAGGTGTATTTCAAATATCTTAACACCTTGATTAATGCCTCCCAATGATCGTGTCCAGGATTGCTTGTGTATCTACTAAACTTGCTTACTGAATAAGCTAGGTCTAGCCTAGTAGAATTCATTAAATACATTAGGCGCCCAATTACTTGGGAATACTCCAATTGAGAAATTGCATCTCCATTATTCTTCTTTAACTTGCAAGTTACATCAAAATGAGTCACAACATGTTTGCAGTCAAATTGACCAAAATTTCTTAAAATCTTTTATGCATAATGGGATTGACTAAGAATACACCCATCACTATTTCTTTTGATTTGAATTCCTAGAATGACATCAACTTGACCGAAGTCTTTCATGTCAAAACTTGAATTCCACATCTTCTTTGTAGAATTCATTGCATCCTTACTTGTTCCCATTATTAGCATATCATCAACATATAAACATCCAAGAACACAAGAATTCTTGTTGTTCTTTATGTAAACACGCTTGTCACATTCATTGATCTTAAATTCGTGTGACATCATTGTATTATCAAACTTTTGATGTCGTTGATCTGGAGCTTGTTTAAGTCCATATAAAGACTTAACAAGTTTTCAAACTTTATTTTCTTGACCTTTTACCACAAAACCTTCTAGTTGTTCCATATATATTTCTTCATCTACATTTAAGAAAGCTATTTTTACATCCATTTGATGTATATCCATATTGTGTATAGCAACTATGGCAATTAACATCCTTATAAATGTAATTCTTGATACTGGAGAATAAGTGTCGAAATAATCTAACCCTTCATTTTGCCGATACCCTTTAGCAAGTAAACATGCCTTGTATTTATCAATAGTACCATCAACTTTTAACTTTCTTTTAAAAATCCATTTATACCCAATTGGTTTGTTACCATGTGGTAAATCAACCAATTCCCTTAGAAATATCATATTTAATAACTAAAAATCTACATGCAACACTTGTGTTAGCAAAACCTATGAAAACACAATCAATAGTTTTAGATCCAAGTTTTACCCTATTTGGTAAGGGTACTTGTACTTTAGCTAGGCAACTCCACACTTTCAGTGTCTTGTAAGTGGGAATCCGTCATTTCCATACTTCATAAGGAGATTGATTAGTCTTCTTATGTGGAATTCTGTTCAATATGTGATTTGTAATAAGTAAGGCTTCACCCCACAGATTGTGTGGAAGCCCTGAGCTATTCAACATTGAATTTATCATATCCTTGAAAGTTCTATTTTTCCTCTCTGCTACACCATTTGTTGCGGTGTATATGGTGCAGTGTTTTGATGTATAATTCTATGAGTTGTACAAAAATCAAAAAACACAATGGACTCATATTCTCCAACTTTATCTAATCTAAGTACTTTTACTTTTCTATCAAGTTGATTTTCAACTTTTGCCTTGTATGTCTTAAACATCTGTAAGGCTTCATCCTTACTATGTATTAAGTATACATAACAATACTTACTGCAATCATCAATAAATGTTATATAATAATTTTTTTCACCATGAGTTGGTGTGGATTTGAAGTCATAAAGGTCACTATGAATTAATCCAATTAATTCATTTGACCTTCCTTGAACAGATTTAAAGTTTTGCCTAGCAAACTTGGATTATGTACAAGTTTCACACTTATTATTAAAGTCAATATCAAATTTAGGCAATAAACCTAGATGCATCATTCTATGCATAGATCGATAATTTACATGACCTAATCTAGCATGCCAAATATTTGAAGACTCAACAAAGTAAACGAAAACCTTATTTATATTATTAAAAGCATCATTGCTAGTTACATTGAGTTTGAACAAGCCATCATCAAGGTAACTTTTTCCTACAAACAGCCTCCTTTGGTTAGGATGAACTTGTTAGATTCAAATACAAGTTTGAAACCCTTCTTACTAAGAATAGGGCCAGACACTAAGCTCTTCCTAATTTCAGGACATGTAGCACATCCAAAAAAGTTAAAACCTTCCCAAAAGTGAACTTCAACAGCACACTGCCTTTGCCTTCAATTGCAGATGCAGAGGCATTTCTCGTGTATAGTTTCTCACCACTAGAATTCTATTTGTAATCAATGAATATATTTATGTCACCACAAATGTGCCTAGTAACACCTATATCAACCCACCATTCCCTAGTATCAGAAACCATATTGGTTTCAGACACTACAGCCACAAAATCCTCATTAAATTTAATAACATTGGCTTAAGGATTGGTTGAATTTTGGTGGCGGCAGTCTTGTGTTTTATGCCCTAATTTTCCACATACCCAGCAAGTGCCTTTGATTTTCTTGAAATCCTTGCCTTTTGGTGCATAAGGATTAGCATAATTCTTTGCAGCTTTCTTGCCCTTGTTTTTCTGGAATTTAGCTTTGATGTCTCAAGGACATTGGCTTTAGCTTCTATAATAGGCACTTCACCCTTGTCACCTTTCCTGTGATCCTCCTCAACTCGAAGTCTCAAAATCAGATCCTCCATAGACATCTCTCTACGCTTGTGCTTCAAGTAAATTTTGAAGTCTTTTCATGATGGAGGCAGTTTATCTATGATTGCTCCAACTTGGAAGTGTTCATTAATAGAACACCCCTCTGCAAGAAATTCATGGATCAGAATTTGAAGTTCCTCGACCTGTTTAATAACAATCTTCGAATCAACCATGACATACTTGAGAAATTTTCCAATTACAAACTTTTTGGCCCTAACATCTTCTATTTTGTGTTTTTTTCTCAAGTAATTCCCAAACTTTCTTTGCAGAATTGTATGACGAATAAATGTTATATAGAGTATCATTAAGCCTATTAAGGATGTAGTTTTTGCACATGAAATCAAATTATTTCCAAGCCTCAATGGTCATCATTGTCTCATTAGACATTGGATTTTCATATGTTTTGGGAGCCTCCTTTCTGACAACATGTGCCAGATTCACAGTTGTGAGATAGAACAACATCTTCTATTGCCATCTCTTGAAGTCAATTCTCTTGAAATTCTCAGACTTCTCGTCATGAGGATTATCAGTCACCTCATTCACAGTCACTGATGATTGTGAATCCATCGTTCACTGTCTTTAGATTGTTGGAAAAACAACAATCAATAACTAATTTCAATGGTACCGACCAGTCTTTTCATTTCCCAAATTTGCCTGGTTTGTTTGCTTGAAACTGTGGCCTGACAAAGGCCTCCATCCCATTGGAAAATGCTTCTTCTTTTGTGTCTTGCTAAGAGATTCCAATATTATCGTTAATCAAGTAAACAGTGAAAATCTGTTACTCTTGTTGTTATGACGCACAAAGTTAAACTCATCAATCAAGTAATCGCCCAACTTCTTATTATCGTAACTTATCAATCAAGTAATCAACCATTAATGAGGATTAATTACATTGCTAATCATAATCATTATTTGGATGAATTTAAGCTTATAATCATCAATCGAAATTCAAATTGATTAGACGCTCTGAGTAATACCGCATTTATTAGAACAATGGCAACTTTTTATGAATTTTCATTTGAAATTCTTTTACCACCATTATTTATTTTTCGTTTTCTTTTATTTTCTTTTCAGCTACTTTCTACCTTTTCTTGTCCATTGAACAGAAGAACAAATTATGTCTGTAAATCGTGGGTATTGTATTCTAGGTGGGAAAATTAATATCTTATTAATTTATTAATTAAGCTAGCACAGTCAAGAAAGGTGATAATTATGCACTTTTTTTGGTGCCTAAACCAGTGGTTAATACATAATTATTACTTATCTTGACCTTGTCCACTAATGAAGTTTTGCCTTGGTGTTTTGGACCACAAATTTTTTTTTGCTCAGGTGTTTGGACCACAAATTACTAATATTAAGAGACAATTACTAATAGTAAGATAACTCTTTAACTTTGTTGATGTCCAAAATGGAAACAACTTATCTGGATATGCCTTCGATCGCATGGGCTCTACGGCATGTGTGGAAAGGATCTGCAAGGAGAAGCAAAACAAAGGTAAGCCTTAGGTATCGGTGTGATATCAGCCGAAGGCTCTCTGATATTTAAGTTAGCTAAATGATATAATAAATAAGTAATTGGTTAGAATAAGAATTCTAGTGCCAATTACCTTTACCTTGTGTATTAGGGCAAGAGCCCTATTTATAGACAAAAAAAGTGGAACACCTTGGGTTAGAGTTTCGATACAACAGGTGCCTTGGTTGTGCCGAATTGGCTGATGAGGTTGCCGAAAGTGAATCATTGTCGATGGTAGTTATAAGTTCCAGCGACTGGATTGGGCCATGTGAGCTTTTGCTTTGTGGGCCATTCGTTCCACGTGTCCATTTAAAAGAGTCCAATCAGACATGGTATAAACAAACTTATTACTTTATCAATTAGAGCCTATGAATAATAAGTCTAGAATTGAATTGAAGGATGACAAAGTGAACTTTTTCTCTCTCACAACTACATTATTTTTATCTCAAACTACTATAACTTATAGTAACTTAGAACGCATTGATAGCATGTGGAGATAATTCTACTATTTATTAAGGTTACATGTTTCAAATTCGTGGTTTATAAACACAAACACTCAAATACCAATATGGTTGGTGCACATCTTTACTTACAAGAACCAGATTTTGTTGGATATGTAGCCTAAGCCTAGAGTCTACACTAGCGAGGTCTAGGATGTCGTTGCATGACTTTGTAGGTTCCAACCAAATGAAGGTGAAGGGTCAGCATCCATCTTTGACATTCCTGGTATCTTCTCCCACTATAAGAGTGCCACGTATGATCAGCTCAACTAGTTGAGAACTTGAGAATGACACGTCAACTAAGGGTAAGGTGGCCATAAACTTTCTTCATCAGCAATATATCACTGTTAATTTATAAATGCTTCTGATAATACACGGTGCTGGATAGTGAACTTGGATTAGATTAATAAATATTTTCATAATTTGGGTTTAGTAAATGGATATTTATGTCAATATCCCTCTCACTACCTCGCCAAACACCAATTTGAAAGCAGCAACCGGCAACTATGGACCTGTTCCTAACACAAAATGTTGATTGAGAGAACCCTAATTTCAAAAATATATATTGATTATATACGCCATAATTTTTGTATGAAATAGTTACATGTAATATATGTTCTTTTTGATAAAACAGTTTTACCAAACAGGATTATTCATGATAATTTAGAATCTTAGCTAATACCTGGAAAAGACAGCACTATTTTTATAAATCCAAACTTGTTTGCTTTTCTTAACCAAACAATAGGGTTGTTTGCTCTGAAACCTGAGGGAACAAATTTGGACCATGGATTGAACTCGTAGCTTCTGGGCAATTCTAGAATCATCTTCTTTCCATTTTAAATATGTTGCAGATCAATTTCATGGCGGCTTTTGCATATCTGCTTCAAGCTCTCTGGAAAAGTTATCGGTAAAGCTTTGTCTATGTATATATAAGTTCAAACTTGTGGAAGGCTCTGGCTTTTACTTATCTGCTTCAAGCTCTCTTGAAAAGTTATCATCAGTAAAGCTTTGTCTATGTATAACTTCAAACTTGTGGAAGGCTCTGCATGATTTCTTGATAGATTATAGTAGGTGGCAGCAGTTAAGGCAATCGGTTCATAAGCGCAAGCAAAACCCTGAAAACAACCATTTCTGGTCTCTGCAGAGTGATAGAAAGAGAAACACATGATCATTTTAAGGTGAGACATCTCTATATATTTGCCAAATATTCAAAGGTGGATGAGATATTTCATTTCATTGTCTGATATTGAAACAACTCAAGCACTTAGCTCAAAAACTTTATCAAACACGTGGTCCTTCCATTGCACATTCTGCAACTGATGAAGGAACATGATGGAAATACAAAGCAACTCCTAATATTGAAAATCCTGCAGATTAAGTTTAATAAAAAAACACACACACCACAATCATATTCTCAGTCGAGATATATGCTGCATAGACATGCCATATACTAATTTTGAAAGTTTGTGAGATGTGACCCCCCTCTCTCTCTCTCTCTCTCTCTCTCTCTCTCTCTCATATACATCAAGGTCTTTTTATTGTTTTATTATTTTGGGTTTATTTTCATTTTTTTTTCCATGGTGGATATTGATATACTTAAGATGGGATTTCAATTAAATTTCCATAGGTTCTGATCATCTTCTTGATCAGCACCAACAACATCATCATCAGCTATGTCCAAGCGAGGAGGGCTAAGAAGCATTCCCTCAGCCATGTTCACCAGAACGTTAGGCATGTCAAAGATCAGATCCTCATCAACAAACTGATGATCACTCAAAGCAACTCTATCAGCAGCCTCAATTGTTCTATGACCCTGAGCCTGCACCTCACTTCTTGAATGAGAATCATCATTTCCCACTCCCATGGCGGCCGCCGCTGCCCCTATAGCAGCTGCAGCGGAGGCTGCCGCCGCCTGGATGTCACGTGAGGAACTAGAGGCTGGCACGGGCAACGAGGAAGCCGAGTTGGGGAAGTTGAGCTCGGCGTCTCGACCCTTGAGAGCAATAGCTGCAACATCATAAGCAACCGCAGCCATTTCCGGCGTGGGAAATGTGCCTAGCCAAATCCTATTAGGCTTTCTTGGCTCCCGGATTTCAGACACCCATTTTCCACTGCTCCTGCGGCGCACACCCCGATAAGTTGGGTGACGCCCCGGGGTGGTGGAAGTAGTAGTAGTATTAGTAGTACTGCTTGAAGATGTGCTGTTTGATGTGTGCATGGTGGAGATGGCGGTTGGAAGTTGATGGGAGAAGCCATTTAAATGGGGGGGAGGAAAGGGGATTCAGTGATGATGAATCTGAATTGTGAGATAGGTGAAGAGTATGAGGGATAGAAGGAGAAAGTGCAAACCAGTTGTTGATGAACTGCGCTGTGAAGAGAGTTGGGGTGTAAGCCAGCTTTTTTAGTGTTGGATGGACTTCTGGGTTGGCCTGCGTTTTAGTACATAGCAAAAAGACTGCCTCAAACGTCAAGAGAACAGTGGTGTTAGGGGCATTAAGATCTTCTATATATGTCACCCCACTTTACTCTGATCTTTCTAACAAAGATTTGATTATAATAATGAGGAGTTTCAATCTTTTCAGGCAGATAATTCCATTCAAGGGATATATTGACAGTAAAAATGTGATGGACGTGACATATATTGGTTAGAGTGTTGAGCTTCCACTCTTTGGGATTGATGTGTGTAAAAATCTATCACCTATATTGCAACTTGGTTAATTAATATATAAATTTATATGGCAAAGAAAATACAGCCCATACACATGATTCACCCAAAGAAAATTTTAGGATTAGCCTAGCCAGCTCTATATACAAGCCACGATGCTCAACTACATATACATGTAGATACTCTAGATTAACAAGCATCTTATATAAAAAATTATATATTGTGTGACGGTGACATCGCATTTCGTGCCGCGATTTTATTTTGTTTTCTTTATTAAGTTGAACTCAATTGGGTGAAGGTAAGCCAAACCTAAGCTTATAG